CCCCAAAACCCCAAAACCCCATAGATTATACTAATATATTTCAAAATGTTATTAAGAAATTAAGTCAATACATATTCTCAAATAAAGACATTACTTGCTGAGTCTGGAAGAACTTTTTCAAGGCATTCTTGTTTCTTATGGAGGAAGGGATAGTAAGAGATTTTGAATTGTAGATTCACAGCATCCTTTAAAGTATCATCATTGTTTCCCACTCCACAATCTACTTAGGCGTAGAAATTAGATCTATCATAGGTATGGCAGTTATCTTGGTACCATACTTTCTTTATTGAGTTAATATATTTTTGCATCTCTGAGAGCACAGGCAAGGGGCAGAATCCATCACCTATTGTTTCTAAGCCGCACTCACATTAAAGCTCAAACTAAACTATGTTATCGGCTGAAAAGTATTTGCAAGTTGATACTCCTGGACTGCATTGGTAAGGGGCTTCAATGTAATTTTTGTTGTTTGTCAAGCTAATGCTAGTTACATTGACGCATTGAGCTATGTTTTGATTTACTTGTATAGCATAGCCACTCTAGCAGTACTAACCATGAAACAATATGGAATTCTTATTCATAGAAGGATAGGTATTATTGTCCCAGTAAAACTAGAATCCCCAGGGTGCATTATGCTTTTCAAGGCAAATTTTGTCATCCTTTGAATATATTTTCCAGCAAAAATTTCTAGACTTGCAGTCGAAGTCATTTAAACAGAATGAGCCTACCTCTCCTCTAGGCTGACAAGAACTTGCAAATGGCCACACTGATTAAATTCTGCATGATAAATCAGCATCACATTAAGAGTGATCACTGCAGGTTGAACCAAAAGGTAGGCCTGTGCAGACATTGGTATCAGTATCGCATACTCTGCTAACACATTGATAATCGTATAAACATTTCCTACCGGCTAGCAGTCTAGTAGTCACTATATCTTATTTTGATCTACAGCTAGCCACTGATAACTTATTGTAAAATTATGAATCTTCTTTGGTTGGATCGTAGTTTGGTTTAATTTGCCTAATGAATTGAAGATTTGCATCAACCCAAACATACTTTCCGTTTTGAATGAAGCACAGCTCCTGAGCATCTGTGTTACAGCTCTTAAGCTTAATGGTTTTAATCATTCCATCTGATGCTTAGAAAGCATGAAAGCATTTCCCCTCCATACTCTGATCTTCATCATCACACAGAAGTATCGGGCAATTTGCCTGATAAGAAACAGCAATAAAAATGGACAATAGCAAAAGTAGTATGTTTAATTTTGATTTCATTTTATTTATATTTACTTTTAGGTTAATTTGAATTTCATAAAGTTTGCAATATGTCATAATACGCACTTGTGGGGTTTTGGGGTTTTGGGGAGA